CTGTCTCCGGTTTTGAGTTTTTTTATTTAAGTTATAATCAAATGTTTCTATTATTGAAATTTATATAAAAAAAAAACTGAAAGTATATGAAACAATATTTACAATATTATATTATAGTGATAATTTACCAACAATAAATTGTCTCTTGAGTTTTAAAAAAAAAATGTTTTTCAAAACATACTTACACGTTTTATAATAAGTAAAGCAGAATGTTCATTGATCAAATTTCAATGAAATTATACTTTTTTTTTAAATTATTTAATACCGATATATTATACCTATCTATTTAAAACAATATATCGTGAATACCTCATACGAAACTATTAGATACCAGACACATTTACTTAAATACTTTACAACTTCCAATAGGCAATAACACAATAATAAATTATAGTTAAATATTATTTAATTTTGTATTATATATTTTCATATCTGTGTATTAGTTATCATGTTATATATATGCCAAAAATAACAATTCCGAAAATATTTAGAACCGAAACATATATTAACCAAAAATATAATAGCCGAAAAATATTTAAGTCGAAAATATAATAGCCGAAAAATATTTAAGTCGAAAATAATATTTACGAAAAATATTTAGGTCGAAAATAATGTCATCGAACGTATTTTAGCTGACACTTATTATTTGAACAGAACCTTTATAAGTTATAAATTATAATAGTATAAAAAAACAGTGTTACGCGCGCCGTGTGACCGCGTTGTGTCTACTGTCTACGCTATTTTTATAACATCTGTGATAAGTTCCATTTGTTATTGAAATATACAGCTATTTTTTATTTTGTGGTTGACATTTTTTTTCCATATATACTACCAATGCTTAATTGTTAGTATTTGTTTATACTTAGCTACACAATAGTAAATTCAAACAGGGACAACCTATGGTAGACTGGCACCTTGCCGATGCTGAATAAAATGTTTATATATTATTAAGCCGGCAGTAGTTTTTTGGGGTCTAAAAAAACCGGTATGGTTCTTTTGGATCTAGATATGATGCACTCATCAGACTTATCACTAATGTCCAGCTAATATATAAAATAGATCACTCCAGTTTATGTGTAAACAAGGTCAGATACAAGAGGAAGGCTGGAGTTAATAGTTAATAGTTTATAATACAATCTATATTAAAATAAATATAAACCAAGTCAAACTATAACGAATTTATGAGTAGTAAATTCACATGGCTCAGGTGCTATAATATAATATACATAATATTATCATTGATTATCATTAATCAAAGATATTATGTATAAATGCACAAACAACAATAAAATTCAAGTATATTAAATTTATATTTATAAACACAGATTTCTTTATTTCACACTATTATAATATACAAGTTAAAAGTTAGCTATAACTTAAATTTAAGTGGCATGTGTACTGGCGTTGTCGATTGCATTATCTAGATGTTTTTATACATGTGCATAGAGTACACAAGGGTTTCACAAAATGATTGATACTTAGTGTGTGATATTATAATTAACGTGAAGTGGGTCTCATACGGTTATAGTTATTAACGAAACGTTAATATTACTAAGTTTACTATGGTCAAGTTTATACAAACTAACGGTTGGTTACCAACTGCGGCCATCCATCACTGATGTTAAATAATTATGAGATTCGAGCTATCAAAAAAAAAAATATAATGGTTCAACACGTTGGCGGTGGCCGGTACTTAACAAAAGACTGCAAGGAAATAGTTTTTACTAAAAAAATTGATGATGTTACTGTTTAATAAATTTTAATGTTATAATTATTAAAATTTATTTTATTATTGACCACGATTTAATAAAAAAAAAATTGTTTGGCTTAAGTATTCTAACAGCCTTGACAAAAATGTATTTTCTAAAATGATTATGTACATGTTTATTTTTAAAAGTTATTATCAGCAGTAATAAACATATAATATTAATCATTTGTTGAATAAAAACTAATAGTGTACATATTATGAACACAACGGATTTCATACAAGTTATTTTAATATTAAAGTTAGAAACAATTGTACATTATTAAAGAAAAATACTAAATTAATATAATCAAGTTTATAAAAAATGTTTACTAAATTATTTACACTTGGCTTATAGTTTTTAAATTTTGAACATAGTTGGAAAAATAACAAAATATAGTTAGAACATTACAAATAATTATGGTATAAATCTACTTTACCGGGCACCCTTTTTTTCGATTATTTTTTTAAATCGACAGTACTTTTAATGTTGATTACGAATATGTAAAAAATTTGCGCCGCTCGCACTTAGTTTGGAAGTTACAGACTTTTAAAGTTCGCCGAAATCGACATACGTGCGCGCCCCGGCACTGCACATCTACCCGCGCCCGCTGGGTACTTCGTCCGTCGATCGCCGCTCAATTATCATCAGATTCCTCGTCTACCTGCCTCCCGCCCGTCGTGGTCCTTTTTTTTTTGCATCATAATTTCATCACGCTAATATTTGACTTAATTGGGATTTTGCTATAGCGAACAATGAACAATTTTTGGCTCGCCCGATGCACATTGTTGAGACTTGAGGATGACTTAGTAGTAAATATTAATGTTTTATCGCGCCCCGCTAATATTATAAAGTATTACGGGCTATTATAAAGCAATACATGTTAATCATTTTTTATAATTTGGTTATTCATTTATATTTTATGATTCTACATATATTAACACAAAATAAATATATAATGCTGTTTTTCTACAAACTCTGATGAAAGTTGTGAGGGACACACACACACATACATTAATTATATATATATATATATATATATATAGATAATAAAAATAGAAATAATTAATCAGATAAAAAAATCCAATTTATATAGATGGCCTATAGCATAAGCCAAATGGGTGGAAAATATACACATTTGCCAATTAGCTAAAAATGTACTTTTTTTTTATTTTTATATCGGTATTTATCTAATTCTAACCCTCTGCTTCTGAGTTTTTAATAATTAGTTCTAAGTCAATAAAAAGTAAAAACCTTTATCAAATACTTTTTAGTTGTATATATAATATATATATGGATCGTTCATTCCGATACTCATGAAAATGCACACAAATTAAACAATGTTCAATAACTTCATTTGTTTTATATTTAAAATATATTTGTAATTTAATTGGAATACATGAAAGCAAGTTAAAATATTATTCAATTAATATCGTTGCAATATACATAATTTTTTTACCTATGTATTATATTAATAAATAAGTATCAATAATATAAAAATGTATAATTATTTATAATAATAGAGTAAAAGTATTTAGAAACAATAATTATTATTAATAGAATGAGTTAACAATAAATCCTGTTGAGTAAATTGAAATGTTTACAATGAACATAGTAACAATGTCTTCTATACAATAGGGGTTTTAATAAAAATATTATATTTTCTACAAAGTTACTGTTTTTATTTTTATTGATATACAATTTGGAAATTACATTTTTTGCTATTACTCCGTTATAATATGTGGTGTCGGCCGCACAACATACACAAATAATAATCGTACATTTTACATAAATATTGTACATGTTGGTATCTCTTCGGGTGGCTGTTTGTCGAGTGGCTCCGTGTCGATTTTCGGTGGCTGTTTGTCGAGTGGCTCCTTGTCGAGTGGCTCCGTGTCGTGCTCCCTTATTGTTTTGTCCGTGATATTTATTGTTTTTCTATGATTTATCATATATATATATATATATATATATGACGGTGTTATCATCACCTAACCTAACATTTTAATACATATCTTGGAAAAGTGACGTAGTACTTAATACAATGAAATTGTACACAAAATGGCTGCCTCATAGGAAGGAGCATTTTTATTTGAATCATAAAGTAATACTTACTCTATGATCTGAATACGCGTTCCATATATTGAGTTCAGTAAAATAAACACATGCCTATATCTAATAAAACCACTCATAAAATCCAATATGTGCATCGTCAACCGTTTACTACTATACAAAAATCTCCTCAAACCAATCTATACCAATTTATACATTTGTAATGTTATATAGTATTATATACTAATAATTTAGAAGTGTAAATGCCTTGCGGGTCATTTTAGGTAGAAAAATGCTAGCCCCCCCAAAAAATTAATGAAATCTCTGCCAATGATCAGTCGCTACTCGGTACTATGAAAGAGACCGCTTCTATCTTCTATCTCGACTCTATTACAAAATGAAAAGCCGTTCAAACCGTCTCATCACCCAAGTCTCAACTGCACTCTAAATTCAAAAACCTTACCGGTCAATCCAAGCAGACGTCGTAAACGTAATTGGTCAAGAGACTTGCGTTGCGATAACTAACTTAATTTATTATTGTATAGGTGGCTCTACTGTGAGCCTCCTCCTCGCCGCCCCATCATTGTCAATTTTCTAATTGTATTATTTAAAATATTTACTCATTGTTCATAATATACAGTATAAATTTAAGATTATAAATGTTTTCAATAAACCATAATTTTATAAAAAAAAAAGACTCAGAATAAAATCATTAAGCTATCACTCACGTTAACAGCTGCTATAGAGTTAGTTTTTGTAATTTTGCTGCACAGTGTAAATTACTATGTTTATAATAAGCGATTAAAACGTTTTGAGACTGGAAAAATTGTTCAAATAGTTTTAAAAGTTCAATTTTTAGACTACTAAGTGCGAGCGTTTTATTGTTCAAACGGTTTAATGGTTAAAAACGGTCAAGAACTGTTTCATTATAAAAGTTTAGTTTAAAAAATGTTTAATGGCTTCAGACTTCATATAAATGCAGTATTGATTTAATTGTACTTGTGAATTATAAATTATTTTAATTTTAACAATATCATTAACTATTATTTAAGTTTAATAATAATTAATATGCCAGTCAGGCTCATTTACAACTTCCACAACAATATTATTTTCATAGCCCTTATTGAAGAAAACAAAATAATCGCGGCAAAATAACTTAAATCGTTGGCTACACTGTATATATTTTATTTGGTGCTTAAAATCATGTTTCAGAATCCAGAGACGCTTGTCAGTCTACAGTTGTCAATACTTGGTAGGTATTCTGTATTCGCATTCACTGTGTACAGTGTATTCAATATTGTAGTTTTAAGTTACTCATGTTAATTGTCAAAGAAGAGGTAAATAAGTCGTAATTGTAAATCAGAGTTTAAACTTAATATTTCGTATGTTAAGGCTAAGAAAATAAAGTGTTAACTATTAACTTAGTTTTATTTAATAATTGTTGTTTCAGATTGAAATTTTGGTTTGAGTTCTATCAATTTTTAACCAAATCTGTTTAACCAAGTTTTTGCGATGCCGATGATCAAATTGCAAAGTTCGGATGGTGAGGTGTTCCAAGTAGATTTTGAGATAGCCAAAGCTTCAGTAACTATTAAGACTATGGTAGAAGATTTGGGTTTGGAAGAAGAAGATGAAGAAATAGTACCTTTACCGAACGTAAATGCTGGTATATTAAAGAAAGTCATTCAGTGGGCTACGTATCACAAAGATGATCCACCACCAGCTGAAGATGATGAAGGCCGTGAAAAGCGTACTGATGATATATCCAGCTGGGATGCTGACTTCCTTAAAGTTGACCAGGGTACACTTTTTGAACTCATATTAGCTGCTAATTATCTTGATATCAAAGGATTATTGGATGTTACTTGTAAGACGGTCGCAAACATGATTAAAGGGAAAACGCCTGAAGAAATCAGAAAAACATTCAATATTAAAAATGACTTTACACCAGCTGAAGAAGATCAAGTTCGTAAAGAAAATGAATGGTGTGAAGAAAAGTAAAATTAAATTATTCACACTTATTTATGTAAATATTATAGTCTTAATTTTTTTCAAACAATATTTAGTATTTTAAGGTATTTTTTAAATTTATATAGTACATGTTTCCAAATATAAACAAATGCTTATCATTAAAAACTAGGTGTTATGAAACATAATGTTTATGCTTGTGATCCCAATTGTCAAACTTAAAAAGTGATACAATTTAGGATACAACATGAACATGTACTTTTTTTATTACTTTATGAATTTGTACCTTGTGTGTTACACATCTTAATAAACTATAACAAGTTGGACTTAAATTTTGCTTTTTTCGATTTGATGGGTTAAAAATAAATTGAATATACATAATTGTGTTTTATTGAATAAGAAATTGTTCATTTATTATAGAGATAAAAAATATTTAACCATTTTCCTATTGATATAAGAAAAAAATTAGACGTACTCTTAACATTACGTCTGCCTCCACCATGGTTTCAATACATTAATGACAAACCTCAGAAAAACCTATTCATACTGTTAAGGAGTAAGGGCTATTACTGTCTAAGCACTTAAGTTCTAAGGAATAATTGAATATATGAACAATTTTACAAAGTTGAAGTATTTGATGGATTTAAAGCTATGGGTTTTAGGGGTTCATCTTCATAATTATTTTAATTTAATGGCTAGTTCTCCAGCATTCCTAATAGTGCTATAAACAATAGTATTGAAAACAAATATAACAAAAATGAAATAATTTTCAAAACCATGTAAAATATTAACTTTAAATCAACTTGCAAGAATAAAATAAAAATATTTGATGTTATTTAATTGTATAGTGTTGGATTAGACACCCTATTGGTGGGAAGTTACTTTTTCAATATTATATATGGTATTTATATCATGATATATGTAAGAGCAGGTTGAGGTTGATATAGGTAGATTGAGATATTGAGATGTATATTGAGTAGTAGTCAGTTAGAACGGTAGACAAGATATGCATTGCAAAATATTGTTCTTTTGTTTAAATAATGTTCTAGTTTAATAAATGTATGTGTACTACAAGAAATTATAAACACAAGTCATATAATGTATTTATTAATATTATTCTTGATTAGAGAAATATTTATCAAGCGAAACATATGTAAATTAGTGTAATAGGAACTTAAAAATACCATCGAGTATAGTTGGTAAAGTTCCAAGATACTGATTGTCTTAGAAATGCCATACATAGCAGATGTTTCCCAAAACATAACCAGTTTTCTAATGTACTGAAATGTTGGCCAAATAAATACAGAAAAGTAACCACTGCTCGTGGTAAAAATCATCTACTCACACTAGTGATGGGAATCCGAAAATCCGGATTTTCACAAAAAACGCTATTTAAGCTACTTAAAAATCATAGTGTTAATTAATTTTACTATATAAAGCGCTGTACCTAATTAAAATATTTTTTGATAAATATGTGAAAATAAAACAAACCACCAAAGAAATTAACTGCTTTTGGATTTCAGATTTGTTGAAATCCGAAATCATTTTCCAGATAAAGTTAAGTTTTTAGGTACACACCTTTATATTGTAATAGTACTTAATATGTATACTATTTTCAAGTGGCTTAAAAAGCGTTTTTTTTTTGAAAAATCCGATTTTCGGATTCCCATCACTAACTCACACAAAAAACAAATAATAAATCAATATTCTGTGTACATATGGGTTTTATTGCTATACACTAATTACATTTTCATTGTTTTTAGTTATATTTTAATTCTAAACAATAATTATACAATGTATGTATACATATATATAGAAATGTATTACTTTATTCTAAACTATATTTTTATACAATTCTTATATACCTGATATAAAAGCAATCACCTAATATGTATATTTAAAAATTACAATATTTGGTTATGTAAGATATACAAGGTGTTACATGTATATAAACGTATGGGGTGCATTGTTAAACTGAAACTACTATGTTCACAGATTTAAAGACTAGGTTAAAATAATAAATGCTATACTGTAACAAAAAATGTACAATAAGTATAATAATAATACAATAAATAAAGTAACAAAATATATAAAAATGTTGAATGAATTACAACAATAGAAATAATACTTTCTTTAAAATAACAATAACATAAAAGTAAAAGATTGGTAGAAGACTTAGACATTAATCACGAAACAGATGTGGAATAGACAAAATACACTATTAACCCCTGGCGCAAGGTTGATTTATATTTTATTTAAGAGATATAATATACAGAACCAATCAGTTCTGAATCACATTTAGAATAGACTTACATTACATTAGTCATTTACTTAGATAATTTGAAGTAATAAAATCATGTTAATAATAATATTATATACATTCCTCTACTTTCATTTCCAATTTACTATTAATTAAAAAATATTACTACACTTTTTTAACAATGATCATACAATTTTATGCATATGTAGATTTCATTTGCTGTAAAGGTTTGAATACATTTACAGATTGTGTCAGCTACTTACATGTATGTTATATACAAAATTGCAATAAAAAAGTGAACAAAACGAACTAATTAAATTAAATGTTTAAAAGTCATAAGAAAAAAATGATTGCACAATATATGGTAGGTATATTTTTAAAAAAAGCATTTTAACTTATCACATTAGTTAACCCTACTTAAGCATAAAAATATATGTTATGTAATTTTGTGTTATTTACTAAAATATTTATTTAATTTTAATCATTCATGAAATTGATAATTGGAATTACCTATTATTCTAGACTAGGATATAACATAATATATACATTTTTTAGTTACATACTTTTGTTATACTTATTTACAAATTTCGCTGGCCACGATATAATTGTTTTGATTGTCGACATTAAAAAAAAACATGGGAGAACAGACATTTTACAATAAGTTATTAAATTGTTTGTAAATTAGACTAATTAAATGTTTATTTCATAGTAGACTCTAAACCCTATGTTTTAGTAATAATTTTGTACTACTGTTAAGTCCTTAATGTATTTTATAGTTCTATATATTGATAGAGATCAAAAACATTAATGAAAATAAATTGCATAGCATTTTAAAATTTAATACATTGAAATTATCAGTCTTAAAAAAAAAAATACTATATAACGATTTCAACCGAGCATCATGTAGGTGGAATTTATAACAAATCCAATTTAGTTATTCCAAACTATTGGGTAGTGCAAAATTATACTTATACATAACTAACATATAGAACATGTAATAAATTAAATTATTTGTGATTCATTTTTATTGATGTATAATAACATTTAAATACAGCTAAGTAGGTATAATACTCATAACCAAAATTCATAAATGATAACACATATTTTAAGAAATTTGCATTTTAAAGAAAATATACAATTAATATTACAAAACAATTTTGTTATAAAATTGTGAAGTCAAGTAAACAATATATGAACACTTTCTTATCAGATTCTTAAGAAAAATTTATAAAATTACTAAATAAAAAAAAATGTTATTTTCGTCCCCTTGATAAATTTTCTTGTTTATTCATCAATTATAAAACAATAAATTAAAATAATATTCTAATTATTGTTGAAAAAAAGTACCACTTTTGCTTAAAAATTAAACATAGTTGACCGGTACTTAAATTGTAGACTAAATTATACTTAACCTTTAGCCAAACTAGCAAGAACAGACAGACATTAGCAATATAAAAATCCGTAAAATATATTAAAAAAATAAATAATTAATATTAGTTTTTAAAACTAACATACATAACACATAGGCTATTATCAGAATTATCAGATAGATCTAGCTCTAAAATTATAAGTGAGTTTTTGAACTTTGAAAATAGTTGGAAAGGTCCAGTGTATTTAAAAAGCTCATCCAATTCTCAAACTACTTTAAAGGCATTCATTTTTATCAGAAAAAAATGTATGCATAATATTGTATATATAGGAAATAAAATAATGGATAGAGCTGAGCCTATTTATTCTATTTATTAAATTAAAGTGTACATTTATTTTATTAATGTCTGTATAGAATAAAAAGTACTAAAAAATTATAAAATGTATAAAAAAATAGTGTTTTAAATTTTTTATTTAAACTTGTCTAAATTACTGTTCTGTTTACAAACACCAGTCTTATCAGGTAGTGTCGCACTAGTTTTAAAAACCAATCCAAGCAAAATCTAGAAATGTAGTATAACGAAGGGGAAGGAGAGAAAAATGATAAAATACAGTTATTATAATGAAATAAACCACATGAGATTCATTAATGAAGAGATTTTTTTATCTGAGAATACAACTAATTGCCATTGGTATTTGTAGTGGACGTTAAAGGATCTGCTTCTTCTTGGATAAACATTTTACCAAACGGCTTCTTCAATTTTTTTATCAGATCATGAGTAGATTTATGAGTAGACCTCAGTGAAAGTGCCCATTCCTTTAGACCTATTTCATCCTATAATGTTAAGTATAAAGTATAAATGTGAAATACACACACTATATTAAAAAACACTATATTTTCATATAATTAATTACTTACACTATTGGTAAGAACTAGTTTGCCATCTTTACCATCTTTCATGCGGAGAACAATACACTGTTCATTTTTAACAATAACCAACTCTGGGCTAACTTCTAATACTTGATCTAATGTGATTACTTCTGTTTTAACTGAACCTGAATCAGAATGCAACTCTAACCGATTAGGGTAAAGCTTAGCATATCTTGTTTGCCACGCGGAAGCAAAAGGTCCACCAAGTTTCTTTATATATCCATGAAGTATACAGTCAGACTCTAAAAAAAAAGTTATATTAAGATAAACCTAACAGTAACCAAAGACAAAATAAATTCAAAAAAAACTTTCTTCAAAACATGCTTTCCTAAAAAATAGTAAAAAAGTGAACTAACAAGTAAAAAATAATTTTACTACAAGAATAATTCACTAATTAAGTAGCATATTTTATTTAAAATGTCAATTACTTTGAAAACAACTGAAAATTAACTACAATTTCAAGTAATGTTAAACATCTTTAATTTTTGACTAAAAAGAAAAGTGTAAGCCCTATTCAACAAAGTCCCTAATAAATTTATCAGATAATGTTTTATATTGTAAGTTTTTTTGTAATTTACATTTGGTTTAGTATTAGTTGTTGACACATACATTTCATAATACTTAACTCAATGAATGGTCCCTCTACGACATCGGGAAGTGGGGCAAATTAATTATGCAAGATTTAAAAAATACCAGTACAAACGTACATATTAACGAGTTAAGGAAAGGAAAAAAATGTAAAAACTGGCCTAGTGGGGTCAGGTAGGTCAGAGGTCTTCCGGAATTATTATAAACAAATTTGATAAAATCACCTTCAACATTTTATGGACAATAAATGTGTTTAAATTCTTTTCATTCAACATTTTTTTCAGGATTTTATCAATTAAAAATGGGTGTCTATAAGTTTTTAAATTATTTTTTGAAAGATCCCAAAAATTACTACTAAAAATCAAAAGAAAGAAAACATTTTAGCACCTGCTGGGGTATTTTTATAGTTTCTCACTATATTTAGTGGTACTATATCTAAAGATTATCTCATTTAAGCCTTGAAGTAATTAAGTTAAGTTGTGTCATAATTTTAATATGAAAATTTGTACATTTTTAAGGCGTTTTTATAAGAGTAGATACTTCATTCTTAAATCTTATACCATACCTTCTTCATTGTGCTCATTGAATTTTTTTTGTCGAGACTTTCTTTTTTGATCAGCTTTGTCAGCTTCTGTGTTGACAGTTTCAAAAACAGTTTCTGCTACTTCATTTTGCCACCTTTCAGATATAGTGATTGAAAAATTCTTATAAAGTTCTTGATCGGCATCAGTTAACTGAAATATGATGTCTTTTATTAGAAATATATTTTTTTCATTAAAGATAAAGTATTTATGTTTACTTTAATGCCTTTAGTGTCCTCTTCATCAAATGAGCCAATATCAAAAGCGTCAGCAGCATTGACTTCTCCTCTAGGAGGGATAAGAGGTGGAGTATATTTTTGCAAATAAACTTGTTGCCAGTCTAGACCAGCAAAGAATGCATGTTCCTTAAGTTCATCTGACCTGAACAAAATTATCAGGTTTATGAATAATACACCATAAGTATGCAATTTATCTTACCCCCTTCCTCGACATCCAATTCTTTCATTAATATCACGTTGTAAAAGACCTTCTAATAGATCTCTTAAGCTCTTAGAAAATGAATCTGGAAGTTCCACATTCTGTAACATAAACTGTTTTTACTAATTTAGATTAACAACATTGAAAATACTATTATCACAATTTGTACCTTGGGTATAAACTGGCAAAAATAAGTTTCTTTAGTAAATTTAGTTTCCAAAATGAAAACAATTTTAATATTATTCAAAATGGCATTTACAGGAGAATAGTGGGCATGAACTCCACTGCACGGGAGTACATAGGAACATGGATATGTCTTAATATACAAGTAATATAGGACCCTGGTACTTTTTGGTACTTTCTAATATCGAATGTTTTATCTCTAATCTCTTACCTCACCTTCAACTGGACTATCTCTTTACTCTAATCCATTATCTCTATTTTTTTTTATCAATTATCTCAAATCTTATATATATACTCGGTAACACTCCATGGTTGCACACACAGATTTTGATTGATTCCCAGTCCAATAACATATTGATGTTAAAATTGCAAACGTTTTTAGTTTTGTAAAAAATTTAATTCAATTTTATGAGAAATACAAATTTTTAAGCTCATATAAAATCTGAGATTGGCCATTTTAAACCCAAGATACAGAAACAGTGCCGCCGTAGGAGGTAGGTAAGGATGTTATTTGCCTAGGGCCTCACGGTTTTAAAAATTGTAACGAGTGAAAAGGGATGAGTAGATTTAACGTCACTTGAGTATCGTAATTAGGGAATTTCTTAAAGCAACGGAAATTGTAAAGACGGCACTGTACATAACAATTAAAAATATAATATAGATCATATGATTTTTTAGGAACCTAGTTAACAAAAAAAAAATATATTTATAAAAAACACAATATTAAAAAATAGTTTTTTTAAACTTCAAAAAAGCAGTATGTATAATATGTTAAGAGAACATAATATACATACCTATACATTTTTTTAAAAAAAAACATGGTAATATAAATCGATTTTTATAGAATTTTGGGATTTTTAGAGTAAAGACACCTAATATTAAACCTGAAAAGAATATGAATTTTCTGAGAGTTGTATGTAGGCAGATTTCCATCATATCACTTATTTAATAACAAAATTATGGCTATTTTAAAATATCCAAAAGGAAACTTTTTGGTTATTAAATATTAGAAAACCCATTCAATTTATCAAAAATCTGCCCTTATAAACATTTCTATGTGCATTCTGTAAGCCTAATGATGGGTAGTGCATAACTATGTTCAGTTAGAAAAAATATATAAAAACGTTATTATGATGGCTGCTGTAAAACTGATATAAAACGTATTACCAATAAAGAATCCGCAATATTTTACTAATAATGCTTTACACTTCAATTTTAGCCTACAACAATGATCTTATGAAAAATTGGATATACCGAACACCTTAATAGGAATACTACATCCTCTTAAAGCAATGAAGCATTCTGCACAATGCCATATAGAAGTGAGCAAAAAATGTCTCATTGCTCATTACAGATAAAGCTAATGAATAATAGCTATAACCAGGCCTGGTTTCATAAATGTATGATTGCAATGTTATAAAAAATCAGAGTAACTGGAAAATAATCAATATATAATTAAAAACTATTAAAACTCAAGTCTAAAGCATTTTAAAAATTGGTATCAATTTGATACTATGTATATCTAATATTATTCATAATATTACGTCTATACAATCACATTGCCCAATCAACCTGAATATAAGGCACAACACTGCTTGGAACCATTATTTTTACATTTTTTTAATCAAATGATATTGTGCATAATGCACAATTCTCCCTATTTGCCTTTAACACATTATAAAATATAAACAGGCCAATCCAATAGGCAGTAAAAATTTTGTTACATTATTAGAATAGATATGCTGGGGCTAGTCTGCAGGGGGGGAATTAGGAAATGGCGGGGTTTATCGTTATGCTATGAGACATGCCTCTCTGTTCACATTTTTTTATATTATCATTAATATTATTAATAAAGACTAAAGACTCGACGACTGGGCCATTGGCTAAACTATAGTTATTTGTTAATATTTCCGTTTTATTTTATTTCCAAGAATTCGTTATTATCATTCATAGACATTGTATCATCAGCCACCACAAAATAAACTAGTTATCATGGTTTGTTTCCTACTAATCTATGGTTTGTTTATTTCTGTTATGTTATTGTCTGGTTTGTTATTTATTACTTAAAGATCTTTCAAGTTATTATTACAAATAAATTATTTAAATATATGTCTAAATAATATTGAGCATAATAACAACTTTATTAGTCAGATTTTAAAAGATGGCATTTAAAACTACTTGTAAGAAAGAAAATAAAAGACCAACACTCATTTTAAATTTAATGACTAAAACAATTTAAAATGTTTGTTATTAAATTTTTTTTTTTTTTGTTAAATTAGTTTAAAAAAGTTTTTACTTTTTCTAATATATGTCAATTTTGTTTCCAGTTTTTGAAGATATCATTTTTACAGTATAGATAAATTAAAATAGACAAGGGGGTCAAGAAGGACGCAGCCCCCTGTCAAGGAAAGTAGTGCAATTTTTTATCAACGTACCCCCGACCTAAAGATCCACTCCTCCCCACTGAACAGAATACAATTTTTTTGGTATAGAATTAAAATTAAAGTATATTTTGACTCAAATTTAAAGAAGGAAAAGGAATGCAATTCCCTGATGTAACTATGACAAAAAACTATGGAAGAATAACAGTTGGGAATAAGAGTTATTTTTTGTTAGTGACCCTATTCAAGTATAAATGATTATTAAGGAGAGTGAAAATTAAGCTGTATAAAGTCTTAGTCAGACCTCTTGTACTTTATAGTACAGGAGGGGCTTTTATGGCATACATTTATGCCATTGAGGTAGCTTAGAAGTTTGAGCACTTAACAAGCAATGGAGGAGAGTCTCATTAGGACCCAAGTTTATATACAATGTTAAAAATATAATACTCAGCTTGAGTACTAATGCTTTCTAAAAAAAGAAAAGAAAAAATTAGTAAAAACTCAGTAGATAATAAGTGTAATACATTTTGGTTATATTTAAAAATTACATATATAGACACTCCCCCCCCCCACTTTTCTGACCAAAAGTAATATTAAATTAAAATTGATAAACTGCAATTTAAATTAATATATTAATAAAATGTTTTATACCAGATTATTTTAATAACACCCTACACTAATTTTCTTTTAAAATGTTTCCAACTTTTTTAATATTGCGAGAAAATATTAAAGAGATTTCATCAATAATTGATCCCCAACAAAAACCTGACAGTGAAAAAAGGCCAAGTTCCAGACCCCCTCCCAAAAATGTCAGCTTATCAAATAAATGATATCTATATTGTGGCCAAGTCTGCTATTTCTTTAGTTCATAACCAAACTTCACTCTTACTTTCATGAGAAATACTGCTGTTTTATTTGTATTGCTTAACACTTGGCCAGTTTCTGAATGAAACATAACCTTTCTGAATGAGGTATAAAACAGTCTTGGCCACAATGTAGATACCACTACTTTGATTGGTTGACACTTTTGAGTGGAGATCTGAACCTTTTTCTTTTTTTCTGAGTTCTCTTCTTCCCATCACCCACATAACTCCTAAGTGAGTACATTTGATAATGATGTTTCATTCATAAACTGGCCAAGTGTTAAGCAATACAAATAAAACAGCAGTGTTGCTCATAAACTTAGGAGTGAAGTTTGGTTATGAATTAAAGAAATAGCAGACTTGGCCACAATGTAGATATCACTACTTTGATAGGCTGATATTTTTGGGAGGGGGTCTGGAACTTGGCCTTTATTCACTGTTAGGTTTTTGTTGGGATATCATTCCTTTTTGTGGGCTTCAGTATAGTGGGTGACGTTTTTTTTTTACGAGGCATTGAATGCCTGTAACACATTGAATGTGTTATTAAATTAACTACGTAGATATATACAATATATATAATGTGTACATGTACATAAAACTACACAAGTAGCCACTATGCATAATGATTAATAAACCACAATAGTAATTAAATTAGTCATAATTAATATAGTGTAATTTAATTAATAAATTAGTGAAGCTAGAGTTTATACAAGTAGCCACTATAAATCTAGTTTAGTATTATAAACGTATAAACGAAACCTAAACGTTTAGGGGTACAATTACACTTTATAATAAACCACCTGACAAACGTAACAAGAACAAAGAACACTGCTACACTGCCATTACATGTGAACACGAATTAAGAAAGACACAAACTATGACCAAATGATGGCTGACTAGAGACGTGGGAATCAACAGCGCCCTGTACTGGCTGTAGCGCGGCAAAGGTCATTAAACCCCGCCTAGCGCATTCATTTTGAGAAAATTGCAATTTTCAGATTTTTCTCTTTACTTACACTATAAGACCCACCTATGTGCCAAATTTCACGTTTCTACCTATACTGGAAGTGTCTTATAATTTTGATGATGAGTGAGTGAGTCAGTAACAAAAATGCAAATTTTGAAATCCTCCCATTTTGAAAGGGCTGAATATTAAGGTCTCATATTTTTACAGTGCCCTAAGCTACACTAGTTTAATCTATGTTTAAAATTTCAAAATCATATCTTAAGAAGTAGCAAAGATATGAGAGTTAGAAATACCGGGTGAATTGGTTCGTGTAAAGATACACTGGCATTGCTAGAACTTGGCCGGCGCACTACCGTGCGCTCAGATATAGCCCCTAACAGTTATTGTTTATTAATTACCTAAAATATAAATTATAATAATTATCAAACGGTCCAAGCAAAAGGGCCAAAGGGTCAACCTCTTTGTTTATTAAAATTAATTTTTTTTAATTATAAAATGTAACTATTCAAGTTATTATTATTTTTTTTTTTATAAACAATTCAATAGCATTTAAAGTTAAATATACGCAGGTTCAAACTTAATAAATTAGCTATAATTCATATTTATCTAGTGTTTATGCCTTTTTGCCTTGGAAGAGTAGAATTAATGAAAAATAATAAGTATACATACCATTGTTAGAGTCATGCGATCTATTTCATGTTTATCTTTAGTTTTGTGCTGCCGAAAAGGGCTATGTCCTTTTAGTAGTTTATACAGCATACAACCAAAAGAAAACCAATCTGCACTTGAGTCATAAGATGTGCCTTTAGACAATACTTCAGGAGCCATATACCCATGAGTTCCTCTAAAAAAAAAAAAAATGTATTATTAAAATTGCTCTTTTCATTTTGACTTTTAATACTTACACGCTAGCATGAGGTTTTTTCTTAGAAAAATCACATGCTAAACCCAAGTCTGATATTCGAACATGACCATATTCATCTAATAATATGTTAGCAGGTTTCAGATCTCTGTACACAATAAACCTTCGGTGCATGTGCTCTAAACCTAGAGAACCAATTACATAATAGTAGAAATTTTTATTGTAATATGTAATTTGTATTTATTAAATTAAATTTACCTAATATTACTTCTGCAGCATAAAATTTCATGTCGAGTTCATTAAAAACTCCATGTTGTGCTAAATGATAATGTAGATCCCCACCATGCATCAGGTCTAATATGAAACAAAGTTTATCTGGCGTATGAAACGCATAAGTCATGCAAACAATAAAAGGACAATCAACCTAAAAAGTCCAAAGATATCAAAAGTGTGTTATACTCACATAAACACTAAAATGTTTTAAAAAATAAAAATCATATTTACCCCAGTACTGACTAGAGATAACATAATACGTTCATTTAAGGCAAGTGTTTCTCCCTGTTTCATTTTTATTCTTTTTTTATCAAGACATTTCATTGCATACATTTTGCCAGTATCTGCTTTTCGACAGCCATACACTTCTCCAAAACCACCCCTACCAATTATACGATGTACACTAAAATCATTCATTGTAAGCTGAAATCATAAATAATAATGTTTTAGTTTTGAATACTTGTAACAAATTACTGCTGCAAATTAAATCAATGTACTTACAGAAATATTAAGCTCTAGATTTTTCCACTGGCAAAACCTTGTATATTTATCACTATAAAAAAAGTTATAAAAGATATTTTACATTTAATATAATGAAATGTCATGATTTATACAAACCTTTCTAAAAATTTTTTAAAAGGTTCTTCTCGAAGGTGATTAAAAATTACTTTTATGTAAGGCTAAAAACAAAAAAATACATTGATCATTTTATAAAATTAATTTGTTTATTTAAAAATAAATGTATACTTCGAATAAGTTAACAGGCACTTCATTCTTCATTAAATATTTTTGAACATGGGCGACTGCATCTTTAGGATAATTCTAAACACAAAAATTAATAATAAATAATAAACAAAGGTGATTCAAAACATTTCATTTATTTACATGTGTATGTGACAAAAGTTCTTTCATTATGTAATTGTCATAGATGTCTCTTGCTAATTTTCGCCTTTCATCTACAGATTCTAACTTTTCATACCTTTTAATCTAAAACAAATATTATTATTAATTAATAACACATACTTATTTATTAAAATATAATCTAATTTTAGAGCTATAACAGTTTGAACTAGTTTGTTAATTATTATAAGTTATTATGTATTATAATAATTCCCAAATTATATTTTTGACAACTTTTTTTTAGTTGATGTAAGAAGAAAGTAAACAGAAAATATAACCCCAACCATCCCAATCCCATTCTGTTATTTTTTATTTTCTTTACTATTGACGTAAAATAATTTTTTTTTATTTCAGATAATAATAATTTTGTCAAAAACAATTTTAAAATAATAATTAGTTTATCAATTTATCATAAATAAATATACATATGTTTTCTCTTACTCCCAACATCGTTTTTATTAATTGAAAACAAGAAATGTACAAATTATCAGCCTTCTAGGTTAACCCTAAGTGGTTCCCCCATATAATTTAAACGTTAAAATTTATTTTTCATAAAAATGTAAGTAATTAAACTTATTAATATTTTATTTAGAAAAAATATTCTGAAAGCTGACACTCATCTTCAAAATGCCCAATAATTTAAAATTTTTCCCTTTTCTTAATTAATAACAGTCTGCGTAAATTAATATTATAATTATTTAAAAGTATGTGAATAAAAACCATCTAGGGGATGAGTAAATTGTTTTTTAGATATCAATATAAATTATACATACGTATACATACACACACACACACACATACACATAAAATTTTAATATAAAAAAACAATGTACTAAAATGTATAAAATGAGTTCATATTTAAAGTGTTCAAATGCCTAATTTATAATTCATACTATGTACATTGTACACACCAGGAAAAAAAACTAGAGTATTAAAGTATAATGATAGTAATTTGAAAGAATGGAAGAAGGGAGTAGTTATTGAGAATTTATAAGGAGACTTTACCGCTGTAAGTATGTTTAAAGTGTACAGAAGCCTCTTATTAAAGTTTTCATGAAGAGATGATGACAGGGATTGTTTCAAAACAACTCCACTTGACCAGAATATTCATCCTACTTTGATAATGAAAAAATTCACAATGAAATCCTTGTAAACACAGATTTACTTTTTACTATGTGTACTACCATTCTAAATAATGGTATGCTGTGGTTAATACCTAAGTATTGACAATAATTAATGCAACAATAGATACAAATATAACTTACATCTTAACCTTAAACTCTTCAATGTAAATATACAGATTAATAAGTATTACATTATTTTTTTAAAATGGTTTATTATTTGGTATATACAATTACAGGTATAATGAGTATATATGCTAAATTTGATTATAGTAACATGTTAGGCTTGAGTATGAAGCCACCCACCGACGACACTTCACTTAAATTTATTTAAAGAATATTTACAGTCTATGCTACAAGGCATAATAAGCAAATAGTTGAGTACACTCCCGTGAACGTAACTGGCATAGTACTTTTCGAAAATTCCAACCCTAACGGGGAACTCAAACACGAACTTAGTACTTAAAATACAAAATTCTTTTGTTGCTAACCCAAAATAAACACTTGGTTTATAACCATGGCGATTAGTCGATCTACATCTCAAGCACGAAAAAAAGGGCATTACGAGCTTCAGAAACGACAATTCTATGTACCACGATTCTAGGGACGCTTTTCACAATTGGAACTAGATCTGGGACTGGGATTGGGACCCTTGAGTAAGAGGAGGACATAATCAACAAAATGTAATGTACATATGTAGATAAAAAAAAAAAAGCTGAGACGAGGCATGCTAAAGCTTTACAATATACAGCCTGGAGAACTGACTTTTTTTTAATCTTATTTGTAATTATTTTACTCAGCCCTGGCAAACTAAATCTCGAGCAACACCGGGTCAGGACAGCTTGTTAATATATATACAGAAAAAAAACTGTGATATAATATGAAGAGGGCCATCCAATGATACAACCCAACGGGATTTATAAAATATCATATTATTAAATATTACTGTAAAGGCAACAATGTGCTTAAAATTGAATTTATAGTATAAGGTAGATACACAATTAGGGTAAAACGCATGTCTATAATAATTTTCTGTCATCATTAGTCATGTATCATAAATGATTAAACAGGGTGACCACGAAAACCATTTACATTTAAAAAAAAGCAAAATAATATTAATTTTTCAAAAAAAAATGTATTTAACTTATGTAATATGTTTGTGGGTGTATGCCATTTACTTCAAGTAGCAAAAATGAGATCAGTGATGTCCGTGTTCCATGAGGCAATTTGCTTGATCAACTTGCTGCAGAACTTGTTTACAGGTCACGTAATTTCAAGATTTGGAGATGTGCCCTGGCCTACTCGTTCTCCCGATCTAAGCATGTGGAATTGTTTTTGTGGGGTCATTTAAAGGAGAAAGTTTTTCAACATAAAAAACCTATATTTTGCCTTTTTTTTAATGTAAAGGGGTTTCGTGGTCACCCTGTATAATGAAAATGTTTTGACATCTGTTGATTGATGCAACCTGGAAACTTAATACAGACTAAAGAGCGATTTCTTCTTTTTTTTGGGCTTTTTCTTAATATAAATAAAGTTTAATTATAGATTTTTGAGAAAGTTGTAAATGTTTTTAGAGAAGGGAAGGTACAATCTAGATCTATTAAAGACTATCCTACGAGAGAATAGGCCTGCACAAAAACCAAAACAGAGAATTTATAAGGAAATTGGTTCAGTAGCTAGAATCATCCTGGGTTCAAACACAAAAGTACATCATAGTTAAAAAACAATACCTTTTCAGCTCCTCATCAAAGGTAAGAAAAATTTTGAAAATGAAAAAAATGTTAACAATACTAAGTAAAGTTTTAGATAGAAAAACACCCAAGTAGACTTTTGAAAACAAAGCATATTACAGTTGGATATTTTGTTAATCTAAAATTTAAAATAAGTATTCATTTTCTTATTTGTTGATCATCGGCTGGCACTACTGCTCTATTTTAATTTCTTTTAATGTGAAACTACTTTACAGAGGGTAAAAAAAAAATTATCGATTGTCAACGACAGATTTTATCGTCATGGAAGTAAATTTAATGAAAATGATTATTACTGTGTTCAATGGGCGAGTCAGGTGTATTTTGTGTGACTGGTTAACAGTTCAATTCCGGTAACGAATAAAAACTTTTTGCAGTATTAACATGGATATTTGGATGAATTTTTAATTGTATTTGTTACTTATTCAAATAGTTTTAATAAGTTTTACTTCATCTGCGTGTATTTGCAACACTCAGACTTCTTTTTTTAACCCTCATGCACCCGCACGACCACACTTCATGCCGCATATAACAATGAGTGAGGTTTTCCGGTGGAAGAAGCGGGTGCCCGAGGGTTAACAACACTGGCTGCTGTATTTATTATAATTATTTTTTCTTAAATTCATATTTTATAAATATTGTAATAGTATTTCTTAAAATAGTATTAATAATCTTAATATACTATCTTAGTTGTACTATATATATTTGATAGTGAGTTAATAGTTGTATTAACTATTTATTGCTAAGCCATAATATTCTTAAATATTAATAAATAGTAAATTAAAAAAGCTCTGCTAGAAATACATTTACTATATGACTTTATAATCACGAAAAGAACCTTTCTACAAGTACATTAATTACTTTATAAGGAGCTATAATTAATTAAAATGACATTGTCATATGTCACTAAAGTCAATTACCAGACTTTATACACTATTAACTATTATTATGATCATTATATACATATGAAAAAATTGCATTGTTGTTTAATAGCTATTATGATATTTTATGACTTATGAGAATAATGTGGATTTATATTCTTTAAAAATATCTAAAATATAATGGTAATATGTTCTTAAAAATTAGTTGTCTTCTGAATATTCTACTTAAATAAATTGAATTATTATTATATAAATAGCTTTTGTAAAATACGAATACATTTGCTTTCCTAAAATATTCTCTTATCTATTCACTTTAAGAAGGAACTTTGGTGACCAAACGGTTTGGTTCGGAAGCGTGGTGTAATAATATCACTGTGGAGATTTTTTCTTAAAGTGAATCGAGTATAAAATTAATTGTACAATTTTTTTTTTAGATAATAATATTTGGAACCAAAATCATACATAAAACAAACAACAAATAATTTTTACTTAATACTCAATATTATGACTTAAATATTTTTACTTTCAATATTATGTTTTACCTCATCATAAAAATTTATTTCTGGTATTTGCTCATCTTCTGGTAAATGCTCACAAAAATCTTTGAACAGCAAATAACCTAAAAGTTAAAAAACATACAAATATAAATAATTATTTAAACTATATTTATTTTATATCAATTTAAAATTTACCTAAAACTTGATTGAAAATTTTATCAAAATTCACCTCTTCTTTTTTTTCAAGATATTTGTGCATTACACTTCGAACACTGAAACATACAATTAATTACATTTGAAAATACATTGCAGCAAATGTATGCATTTTTACAAATTTGAAATACTCATACAGTTTTAATTACAGCTAAATTAATAACCTGTTATAAAATACTTCAATATAATCATATAAAGTCACAGAAAACATATCTTGCTAGACAAACATATTTGGTCTAAGTTTATGATTTTATTTAAATAGCATCTTCACTAATGTAAATAAATAAACTTAATGTAACACATCTTATAATAGTATGTTATACCAGATTTAGAAATACACTTTTAGGCTTTAAAATTATAAAACGGTTGAATCATGAATTATTGTTTCTGCCTTATATGATAGGCATATTTAAATTAACAAGAAGACTAAGTATATTTTGTAAGTCATACCATAATAATGTTTTAGTTTATAAAATAAAAAAAGAATACAAATTATAATGCATTGGATTTGTTTAAACAAAAACATTTGTAAGCTATATTGGACCTTGGATGCTAAAATCTTAACTATGTCTCTATTATCAATATGAAAATATTTGAAAGAGTATTTTTACTATTTAATTAATTATAAAAGATATCTTAAAAATGTCTGTTTTTAAAAATTTTGTATGAGAAAATTGCATTTCATAACTTTACTATTGAAATGAAATCGGCTGCACTCTTATATATTTTAGGACATTTACAACATTTGTACAATACTTGAAAACAAATTAATGATAAATTATGTCCAAACCTTTTTATCTTAAACATCTATTATATTTTTCTCACTTTTGATATAGATTTAATATGTATACAAGGCTTATAAATGGCTATATGAAAAACAGCAATCCAGATGTTAATGAATAAACAGTTTAAAAAATGAAAACATTCAAAAGCGGTTAGCAAAAATTATATGGCACAGACTATCTTTGTTTTTTTAACCACTGATTCTGTAATGGGTTTATCGAAAGTTTGTTAAAATCACTTTTTAACCAACACTTAAACACAACGTAATATCAAATAATTATCTCATTGCTGTCAATTACTTAATGTTATTTAAAAAAAATTTGAAAATTAAAAAAAAAAAATGGTAAAACATTAATTGTTACCTTCAACGTTTTGGACATTGGAACGAAAAATTATCCTTGAACTATAGCATATTTTAAATGAATTCTAATTAATTAATCAACGAAGTGGGCGTTTTTTATTTACAAAACTTAAAAAGATGTAAGAGACAATTGCATGTTATTATTTAACTATGGAAAAAAAATCGGCTACACTCCTATTAACTTAAGGATACATAATAAACATGTGTACAAACCTTAATAGACAATAGTACAAAATATTATATTATAATTAAAAATTTAAACAAATTAACAGTATCCAATTAAATTTTACTAAATTCTTAGACGATTAGTTATTTGAGAAACTTCTTCTCAGTTATCATGCACAGTGGTGCACATTTAATAATAGGGAGAGATATCCTACCAACATATATATGGTGGAAGTCTCTACGAAAAAATATGAGGGCTTTGTCGAATAACTAACATTTTTTAAGTTTGTATGATATAATATGATTTTCTTGAATATCAACTTCACCTATGGAAATAAATGAATAAACTTCTTATAATAACTTATAAAACATCTTATAATAGTATGTTTAAATACCAGATTTAGGAATACAATTTTAGGCTTTGGAATTGTAAAATGGACACATCATGAATCATTATTACTTACCTAAGCCATGGCATATAAATATAACCTGGTACCTATACCCTGTTCGCCAAGAGACCATGCCGCGATCCGTTGAAAATTGGCTATTCTGCGCATCCCCCGCACGGCACCCAGTGTGACTAGCGTGTCCCCAGAGTCCACCCTGCTGCCAGCCTTAGTCTTGCTGCTTAATCTACAGTCTACATGCGTAAACCCGGCATACTCTCTCAGCAAACAGGGTATAGTATAGGGATTTTAAGACCTAGGATGCCAAAATCGTAACTTTATCTCTATTAGCAACATGAACATATTTGAAAATGTATTTACTATTTAGCATTAAAATAACATGTTTTAGTAATTTTTGTATGAGAAAATTGCATTTCATAACTATACTATTGAAATGAAATCGGCTGCACTCTTATATATTTTAGGACATTTACAACATTTGTACAGTACTTGAGAACAAATGAGTGATAAATTGTGTCCAATCCTTGTACTTTTCACATAAAAAATAAATAAAATATAAACATGCCTGATAACATGATAGCTTAAAAAAACCAATAGGTAATACCATATTACAGTGTTCATCATAATATTATTTTATTAGATCATTGTTGAAACAAAGTAATCTTACTTATATCACTTAATAGTCGCTAACTTTTGTAAAACATTATTAAATACATTTAAATATGTTAATAAAATATAGCTAAACAAACTTCTAATTTCTTATTTATATAACATAAAATTACTACTAGATACAAGGTATTGTTTCAGAATTTTATATTATAGATTTTAAACAATGTACAAGAGTGTTATAAATTTTGGAAAGTTCAAATCATGTATGTATAGTCCATTCAAGATAAGAAACACGGTCAACGGTCATGTTGTCCATGTGTCTTATCGTCACCAATTATACTTATTAAGTTGAATAGAATATAGACATAAATCTTTATTCCTAATCAATATCAAAGTTCTTGAATAATTATAAACAAAATAATTAAGTTGACAGAAGTTTCTACTAAGTATAATTTATAGGTTTATTAACTAAATTGTATAATATATATTGTATATAATTGTATTCAGTCGAGTTGTGAGAAAATATTGTACAGAATAACAATTATTAGATAACTAGGTATCAACTAAAATACATCTTAGCTGTATTATAGGCTCTTTAAGAATAAACAAAGTAGAGAACAAAATATTTTCATATTTATACATCATAAGCGAATATCACACGAGTATATTACCTGGGATCTGGCAGCACAATTTTTTTACTGGCTCTGGCTGCCGGCGTGCACTTGCTCTTCTCCATGGCCATCAGGTAGCTGACGTCGGCCAACACGGCCTCTAAATCAGCCATGGTGCACGAAGAGGTGCTTACACGATTTGCGTTTTTAAACGATTTTAGGTAAACGTTTTGGCGACAATTAAAAGAACAACGCAAAATTACTTCACACTATTTCAAATAAATAATAAAACGTACTACGGCGAAAAGATCACCACTTCATACATACAACCTAGGCCAGCTCGATCGGCAGCCTAGACTTGATCGCAACCATTATCACTTGGCAGGCTTCGGCGCATTCATTATCACGACGGCGGCGGCCGCTGTACCATAATAACTGCAGTTGTCCTCGCGGCCGTCGTCGTCGTCGCCTGAGCAGCAGCCGTGGTCATCGGACATGACCGTTTAATTTTTGTCTCTTTTCCGTTTTCGCTTTATTGTTTTGTTACTCGCCCACGGCCGTCCGACGACGGTGACCCGAAAACAATAAAGTATATAATATTAATTGACGGTTTTTTCGGTTGCAACCGTAATCCGCTACGATGGTCGAAAAGGGCACCGACAAGCGGGGGACGTTCAACCGACGACAGCGTTACAGAAAACTAGGTCGTCCGCGAGCATTATTCTACACACACACATACGCGCGCGCGTATAAACACAACGTCGTCGTGATCGCAAGCGAGCAGATCGGACACTGGCTGCCGCCGACGGTCGACTGCGGGGCGCGGGCGGATTGCCTGACACTGTGGGGCGCGCGCGGTCACACGTCTGTCCGCGGTGGTCCCTTGATCGTTATCGCCCGTACAAGCGCTTCTGCCGTTGAAAATACACAGTGCCGTGTACTCTGCTGTGCGCCGTTTAGAAGTAACGATGATAATTAATAATAACGACGACTACGTAGTTGTATGAACGTCGTTGCTCACTGACTATTTGCTTAGCGTTCTGCTGCCACCAAGAAATCGACGGAAACGGATATTGATAACGATTTACGTACTGCGGGGTAGGGTACTTACGATTTCGGCCAGCAGACAGCACACTGCACAGTACAGTTGCGGCATTGAAATATTATAGCCGACCGTGTTGGGTGTCCTATAGCGCGAACGCAGACACGCGCAGTGCCGTCCGATTAGTGGACGAAAATGTTGACGATTCACGATACGTTGTAGTGGTTAGTAACAGCAATCAGTGCGCGGAGAAGCATTCGCAGATAATAATTTGAACAGCTTTGCGCGCACCAACGGCCTTATAATAAAATTCAAACTAAAAATTCTCCTACTTCTTTTTTATTTCCGCTCAAATTCTCACACTGGAACAATGACATTTTTTAACGAGGGCATTAATTGTTGAGCGTCCCCCATCATATTCATACAACTTGAATTTTTAAAGAAATATAAACAAATATTATTACTTATTAGATTAATAAATATTATATTTTCAATATTTTGTTTTCTGGAATGAACTAGTATATGTACGAACTCGGAACTATGGTAATTTCGGTTTCCCAGGTTATCCCGAAAATTGCGAAAATGGATTTTTTTTATGCTTTTGGTTGTGGTACTTAAAAACAATTGTGTCCATCAGATGTATCAAAGATTGAATATATTTAAATTTGATCCGTGTATCTACAATATTTATTTTCTGCTAATTAGCATACTTGGTAACGAGTACAAACGAGTCGAATAGGTTGCAAAATGGGACGTTATATTTTTAATTCTGATAGTTTGTTATATAATTTGTCCTAAAATAGTAACTAAGTAACCTGAGATTAAAACACAATTATATTTAATTTTTGACTTTTCATTTAAAGATAGAATTGTTATTATTCTGTAGCTTTATTTCGGCATAATTATTTTGAAAAATTAACATTATACTTTGGATTTTTAAGGTGTCCTTATTGAGGCTTAATAATACTTCTACAGTTGTTAAAAATATCTTGTTTAATAATAAATAAAAATATGTTCCTTACTATACAAATATTTGTTTAAGGATTAACAACGTGTTCTGGATATTGAATGTGTGGGTGTCGGGGTAACGCACCACAACGCGTATTAACTATTATTATACAATATAAATAGACCGCATAGTAGTATTTTTCATTTAAAAACAAATGTATACATATTTTTTTTTTGTGATCGACAACCAGTTTTAAAAAATTTGATTTATTACTTTTATGGTTATTAAAATAATTAGACAAGTATACTATGGTATACTATAGTATACCATAGTATAATTAATTTTATTAAGTTTAATTTTATAGTATACTATGACAATGACCACGGTTGTAGATAGACTGGTTGCGTATCGAGCACGATTAAAAATAACCCTTTTAAAGAATTAATTATCTTTAATCGTGGTATCGAGCTATGAAAAAGCGGCTACAAGACCTGTTCTTTTCTAAAAAGTGAGTGACTGTTAGCGCTTCTTGTGGAAAAATCGTGGAACTTATTATTTTTCTCTGAGGATCTATGTTATATTCAGCCGCTTATATGATATCAATCCGGTTATCAGTGCTGATAAATCGGTTGTTATCATAAACGTGAGTGATCACGATCACGATATCACGATCACGGTTATAGATATTAAAGATATTATCTTTAATCGTGGTTAATATCAAGGTTTATAGATAATAATATTATCTATAAACCTTGATTGAATGAGATCCTCAGTGAAAAATAATAAGTTCCACGATTTTTCCACAAGGAGCGCTAACAGTCACTCACTTTTTAGAAAAGAACACTCTTGTGGCCGCAGATAGAACATTGCGAGGTATAGGCCGATACGCAACCAGTCTATCTACAGCCATGACAATGACCAATTCATAGTTATATATAATATACTAGATTGCTAACTGTACATGCCACCAATAGAGAAGATTGAAGCAGCCACTTTCCGCCATTTCGGTGGGAATTAGAACCTTATCACGCGAGAATAATATGTTTATAACAATTACATATGTATATAATATTGATATAATTAAATATATAATAATAATATCTATGGATATATATTATATGCATTGATAAAACACATAAATCCCACCAGAATGGCGGACCGTCAGCTTCAATTCTTATTGCTAGTTAGCAATCTAGTTTATTATATATATCTGTGGACCAATATAAGTCAGTATCACTCAAAAGTGGACCGTGGTTTCATATTTCCCTAATACTGGTACACTGACGTCCGACCATACGTTTCGAACCCCTGATCTGTTCCGATGTGTGACGTCACGAAGTGTCAAGATGAACTGGACGAGTCCAGACGGGTCATAGATTAAATACATATGTACATATATATTTAATCTATGGCCGCTGAAAAAGGCCGACGTCATATTATGTTTGCGGCTGGGAGCCTTACTATAATTCCAGGAAAAAGCATGATAATTGTAGGTAATCCACGGTCTTATACGGTGTATTAGACCATAATGTAATTCTCAGAAACAAAATGTCGGACCCTTATCAGTCTCGGCCTAGGCTTCCCTTCTGGTTATTCTGATTTCTGTGATAACATTATCAAATTTAATATGTACATTTTTACATATATATTATTATTAATAATATTTATCCACCAATAGTCATAATACAAGTTTTCAAAGTAGGAGTACAGGTGTCAGGTCTGTGGTGAGTGGTCACGGATTTGAATCATAATATATTTATTACTTTCAGTTGATAGAAGTGTTTTATAAAATAAATTTCATTATTTTTAAAGTATATTATTTAGGTTTCAATCAAAATGGAAATTGACGAGGAAACTATTTTTGCAGAGGAAGAAGCGCCAACGATGTTTGAGAGTGTTTTGGGTAATTTTATTTTTATAAATATTCGAAACAATTTAACTAAATAATGTATTATACAAGGCCAACGTGTTATTCTTACGTCTTATAAAAAAACTTATAATTTAATTCTAAAATATTGTTTTAGGATTTATTGAAAACCAAGGATGGTACATATTAGGGTTCATTGCTCTATTTGCATATATTGTGACCAAGTTATGGCCTTATTATGAAAAATGGTCACTGCAAAGAAGGGAAACATCATATGAAGCAGAATTAAAGAAAAGTATTAGATTAGAAGCACAAATTAGCCAACTATTAGTGTATTGTCTACTATTGTATTAACATTTTATCATATATTAATTGTAGATCCTGATTTATATAAACAAAAGCAAGAAGAATTACAAAAAGCTAGAGCTAAATTTCAAGAGGATTATGAAAACAAGGCAAAAATTGCATTAGAAAAACAAAAAGAAGTAAGTAATTTAATATTTTGTATTTTTGCAAACTTATTTTGCAATATTTTAATATTGTTTTCCTTTAATTTAAACATCATATTGTCAGAGGTTTATAAGTTTAAAAATTATATTGGAACATAGGTAGTTAAAATATGAGCCTATATAATAAGATAGTTAGCAACCCACTAATCATGCTGGGAATGCTTTTATAGTCAACATGTTTAAATAGATAGTCTGGTATTATTTTTATAAATTTAATCATTATTATATTTGAGGAGCACATGAAGAAAAGTTTTGAGGTTGAAATTAAAAAAAAACATATTGGAACATAATTGTGACTGTGAAGAGAAGAACAGAATTATTTAGTTAATAAAATAGTTTATATTTACTAAATACGCTTTTTCTTATTTGTCCAGCTTTTTATTATAACAGTATAAATGTAAATGTTTTATTTTTTTAGAAAGAGCAAAAACTTCTTGTTGAAAAGCAAGCAAAGTTAAATAACACTGCAGCTGGATATACTTTAAACGATTCTGGAAAATCAAAACCTTATAAGCCAGGTAAAAGATTATATTGTATTAGATAGAAAGTTGAGACAAAATAAATTGGCAGTTTGTGACATTCAGTTGCAGTATTTGATAGTCGGAACTATATTTGTTTGGAAAAAGTTAAGTTTTGATAGCAAAGCTACCAAACCTAGAAGTCTGTTTGTTTTCAACAAAAAGTACAATTCATAATAAAATAATTTTACATGTACTTATTTACAATATATAAACATATTATTAGTGGAGTATCCCGAGGAAATTATTATTCCCTTTGAAAAGTGATTTGATTTGATATTATGAAATCAACTTAACACCTAGGTTATAGCTTAATATTGACCACTTAGAGATGAGGGTTTAATAAATTAAACCTATTGGAAAAAATTAACTAGTCACTGTAAGTTGTTTCCCTATTTTATATAGCTACACCATCTTTATTTCAGATTATTTTTACTCAGCTGTTTTCATATACCTACATGGAATAATTTAAAAATGGGATGTAATATTGATTTTAGTTTATTAAACTTATTTAAATTAAAACTAAAATGTAATGCAATGTAAAATATAAAAAGACTGTAAGGTTATGTATCTAAATAAAATGTATGAATGTTTTGACGTGCACATAAATCAGTTCAGTGAAATTATAGAATTATTGTAAAAACTAACCTATATTATATGTCAACATACAAGTTACCAAACTTTAAATTTTGTATACATAATTGCTTTTTAATTAAGTAGCCTGGTACAGTTGATTAGTGTTGAACATAGTCAAAAGAATCTACTATTTCACCGACTACTAAACCCTAAACAGTGGTTATCTATCTCAACCTTCCATCCTTTTACTTATTGTGGGTAGAGAGTATTAGAAATTGAAATTTTGAAATAAATTTAAGGTTTGTATATGCATTTCACACAACACGTATATCAATATGTATTATGTTATGTATATTTAATATTTATTGATATTAAACATTTTATTATTATTTACATTTTGTGTTCTTTAACCTATTAACGCCTGTAACTATTTTTTTTAAATTTTCGAGTCCCAAAAGGGACCACCGGGTGTTAATAGGTTAATTTCTTTATAAAATAGTATTTATATATATGTGTATGTTTTTTTTTTAGACTATAACCCATTAATGGGGTCCGGCCATGGTTCAAACTACAGACCACCCAGACGAAGTCGGTGTTCAGGTGGAGGTTGTGGATGAAGAAGAAAATATTTATATATTTACAAATAATTGACAATATAATAAATTTAAATTGTACCTACATTTTGTTAGATAACAAATAATAGTGAAATAACGTGATTAAATACTTTGAAAATTATAACTAGATTATTACTTAAATTATTAATACATTAAAAAATATATAAATTAGGTCTAAACCCAACTTATATTTTCTCGTGTTCTTAAACATTATGTAAAAAAATACTCTCTTTAAGAAAATAAGAATGAAAAAACTACCCTGTCTGCTGAGAGACCATGCCGCGATCCGACAAAAATTGGCCATTCTGCGCATCCCCCGCGCTGCACCCTGTGTGTTTAGCGTTTCCCCAGTGACCGCCCCGCCTGCCAGCCTATCCTCAGCTAGGTTGCTTGGTCGTCAGTCTTCGTGTGCAAACCTGGCATGTTTTCTTGACGGACAGGGTATACACATCAACCTCTATGTTTGACCAAGCTAAGTGTTGTTTATCATAACCATAAAAATGTTTAATTATGTATACCATATGTAATCTAAGCAATATCAAAATAGTGAGGGATGAAATAAAATAAAAAAATATCTATTATACGATAAACTGTTTTATTAAAAAAGTTATGCTTAATAATTTTATATTATGCTTATATAATCATTTTGAACTAAACATTCTATTTTCTCAAGCAAAATAACGCAATGGCCACACATGATAAAGTTCTATAAAGGAATAACATATATTATATTAATCATATTAAATCAATTATATTTATAATAGTCTTTTATACAGCACTTACATTATACTTAAACTTAAATATTGTTTTTTCTTTTTGTCTTTGTACTTGGAATATTTTTCAACTGTGTACTTAGATTTGATTTCGCTTATAATTCTATTATTTCTGTATAAAAAAAATTCAAAGACTTAATTTTATTTAAATACAAGTTGATTAATTAGGATAAGACTAATTTTCTCTGGAAATAATTATAATTTCATACATATATTTTTTAGTGCAACTTTTGAAATTTGTATGAAATATTTTGGATACTTATAAAATTAAGAATCATCTGGTAAAATAAAAATGAATAGTTAATAACCAGCTTAATAAATGTTTTAAAGATACTAAGATTTTAAATGTAGAGGCATTCGCGTGACTTGGTGAGATAAGGTGGCAGTGTAATAACGCACAGTGGGTGGTTTGAATTTTGGCCACTGGCAGTTTGTTCTTTCATTATGGCCATACTTATTTTGTGTTAGGCTGCTGGTAAACAGCTGTAAATCCAATAAACCGTCTGAACCCAAATTGGATAGGAGATACACAAATGTTAAAAAAAGAATAAAATTAAGTTTTTAATGTGATACGGTGGTATGAATGGTGCAGCAAGTACTATATTTTATAGTACACAACAGGACTTAATCTCCAGCTAATACTTAAAAATACTAAAAACCCATAAATAATAGAGCAAAACTGGTTACTGATTAGTAGTTTTTTTATTATAAGCTGACTTGATTTATTAAGTATTAAAAATATGTAGAATGTAATTTCAATTTCATAAGTTCATAAGTTATAAAAAAAACTTAATTGTTTAAAAAAAAGTTACAAAAAAAAATATGGAATTTTTACCCTGTAGCATATAGTATATAAATACTAGTCATTATTTGTATTTACATAATAAATAATTCAACAAAATAAACTCACATGACAGGTAAGCCTATAAGTACTGCAGAATTTGAAATCAATCTCATATCATAGTTACATATTATTTGATGCATATCAATTTTCAACTAAAAATAAAAAAAATGCAATAAAAATAAAAATTGGTTAAAATATTAATTAAATTTAATATTATTACTTTACTCAATTTTAACGATTTCGGAAATAACCCTTTTGATTTAATTATTAGACATTCCGGTAAGACATTATTATCATCAGCTTCTAAATCCTATTAGAAAACAATCCATTAATATTACTGTTACAATTATATGCCTAACACAAAACCATCAATAAACATAGTTTTGAAAAAAAATCAGGCGCGTACTGGTAGGGAAAAATTCTAGTATTCTTTGTCCTAGAGTGTAAATAAGTAATAACAATTTGCATTACTTATTCTATTAGTATTTGTAAACATAAAGCCTTATGATAAACTCAGTGCGCATTGTATTTTAGATATAATAGACAAACAAAGGCCTACTTTGTTTCACACTTTTTCAACACCAAACTAAACCGAAATTGGAGATAGTGAGATTTCTAAGGACCTCATGTACCAAAACCTCCAAGGGAGAAAACAAAAGTCAATAGACAGTGATTATAAATTTATAATAGATAATTTGAATAGTGATTATAACTAAACAATTTCACAAATTGACAAGGAACACGCCCCACCATCATGTTTTTTTTTATTTTTTATTTTTAATAAATTATTATATTGTATTAAATATATTATTCGTTTTTGTTTTAATTGTGATTTAAAAATGTTTGTTGTCCCAATATTTTTACACCAATATCATTAAAAGTATATTATAGTGATTATTACATTTTTGGAAGTTAAAAAGTTTGGTTTATAAGTTTAAAAAAAAAATAGATTTTATATTTCATACTAAATTTAAGATATTCATGTCATGTCTTTCTTTGCGAGTCTGCACCTGCATCTGCTCAATATTATATTGTACTTACAATGCAATTTGTTAATAACCTGCTAGTGAACATTTTGTTTTTTAGTAAATCTACGGATTTTAAAAGTTCAGTTAGAGTGTATCTTCGATTAACATTTTCCCTGAAATTCAAAAATTATTACATGATTATTAAAATGATGATGAAATAACCAAAATTTGTTTTTAATTTTTGATTTTTACACTAAAAATTCTCAAGTTTGTAAATGTAGTAGAACGAATAATTTGTTCAGTCCAATATATGTTTTAAGTTGTAGATAAATTATACTTAATAATAAGTATAATAGTAAGTATAAGTAGGTAAAATTGTAAAAAAAAGTGTCAGGAGGTAATATTAATTAACTTACAAAAACAGCGCCAGTTATGCAGCCTATGTTGTATCATCATTAATTCTAAAAACTTAAAATATTCAATATTTTTTAAGTAGATGCATTTAGAAAAAAAACTTTACACATTAAAAATGAATTGATTGAATATGGTGCAGTGTAAAATAGCAGTTCATACACAAAAAATATACAAATAACATTTCTATATCAGAACCCTGCAACAGTTGTTGACTACAAATTTACTGTGACATTTAAAGTGCCATCAATGTTTGTTCTGTTTTGAAGTTAATGTAATTCAAGACTTTTAATATAAAAAGCAAAATATCATAAAAACCTTTTTATTATTATAATTTTATAAGAAAAAATATAATAAACATTGAAAGTTTTATCTATACTTTTTTTTGGATGTAAAAATGATAAAAAATTAATAACTCACGTTTTACTAGAAAAATTTTTAGTAATATGAATGATTTTGACAAAACAATATCCAGTGTAATATGCATCCCAACCTGCATGATGCAATTTCATTTCATTTCCTATAACATAAGTTTACAAAATAAAACATTTAAGTATAAATTATAATAAAGTTTTTGTATTAAAATACGATAGCAAAGCATGTGTTGGAAAAAACAATATAAAAATAATTCAAGAATAAAGTTGAATCTGTTCTTAGCCACTGAACCGATTTCTTTGAGTAGCAACTTTAAAGACCAGAAATTATGACTGTAAGGTACTTTATTCAACCAAAAATTAAAAAAAATTCACTCCTACCTCTAAAAATTGTAAAAAACACCCAAAAAATGTATATATTTTTCAACTTAAAATTACAATGCTCTGTAACATTTTTATAAATAGTCGTATCAATTCCAAATTTGTATAGAATATTTTTAGGATATAGTACTACCGATAAATGTTGACAACCCAAACAAATATCATAAACTCTTCCCCCTAGAAGGGGTGAAATATCTTTTTCTTTATTTCGTTTTTTTAGGTGAAGTTTTAGTGTTTTAGCTCTGAAAATTAGACTGAGAGTAGATCTAAAACTGCAGTCAAACTTTTTTTTTTTTAGAGAAAAACAGGGGAAAATTACACTTTGGCTGTAGTCAATTTTCAGGTTGCATGTTTGAGTGAATCAACTGTCAAAAGGAAATGAAAATATTTTCATTTTATTCTTAATTATGATGTATGGGTAACTATGGCAATACATATTTATAAAGAGACCATCAACCCTTACACTAAAAATTAATTATTAAGCACTTTATTGTCAGTAGTACAATGCTTTTATCAATAGTTGTATTTTTATCTGTGAACACTGGACTTCTTTGACCTAATTACTCATCTACTACTACTATTACTACTACTACTACTACTACTACTACTCACTTACTGTGCTAGTTTATACTTGCTTGGTTTGGACTATACAGGTTTGAACCTACTATCCACTGATTCGCATTAAAGCGTTTTTTTAAAAGTGATTGTATCACTTTCAGTTGTAATTTCTGTAGACCTGTGACTTTGTCGTCCCCATTATGCCCCAACCTTACTGTACCGGCTTATGTTTTTTGTTATTTGTATAAGAAATAATTTTACTTTAAACAGCATTTTTGATAGTTTAAGTTTAATCCTATCCTGTCTTTTATACATGAGACTTACTCTCTTCAACAATAGATGGTTGGATAAAAAGTGCATCGGAGTATATTTTTGCATCTCCATCTTTTAAAAATGTATAAATCTCAGAAAGAGAACTTCCATCCCAGTTAACTAAAATAAATTGAGAACATTTTTTAAATAAAGCTTTATTAATTCACATAGTATAAAAAAAACATTAAATGTCTATTACGAAACATATCAATCAAACCTTCAAGTTCCTAAAATATACAATGTATTAAGGCTATTGGGTACCGGCTAATTTTTAAGGAGTTTTGTATAGGCAATATTTAAGAAAAAGTGGTTTTAATAAATTTCAATCATGTCAATTAATTTATCGGTTAGTTTGTATAAGCTTCATGGTCTTATTTTTAATTTAAATAATTTTTTCTATGAGTAAAAGCCATTTTAGTTAAGATAATATACATTTTTTGTTCCATCGCCTAGGCTGAACCAGTATTCGATAAGTAATCCAAAAACAGATTTGAATTTTTCATGAAATCCACATGAGATCGGTTAAAGTACTTTTTTGATATCTTATTCCTACCATGTATAAAACACGTTTGAACATTATATATAATTACAAATTTGGAAAGGGTTAAAATTAAAAACTGAAAAAATACTTCGACCAATCTCAAGTATACTTCATGCCGAATTTAAATCTGTTTTCAAAAGTCTATCACTTCAATACAATGATCGGACCAATTAAAGTTAAATGGGTAGTTTTTGACGGAAAAATTGGCCGGTACCCAATAGCTTTAAAATGTTTCTTAATTTCATTTTTATTTTTAAAGAAACATGTAATTAATAAATATTGTGCATACTGAAATTCTGAAACATATTAAAATTAATCAAAAAGTAATTTTTATATAATATGTTACTTTAACTAGGCTTCTTCAAATGGTGCAGAAACACAATTTAGAAAAATGATCTCAGATAGCTTAACAGTCTAGTAACAGTCTAGTAAAGCTGGGTCTATATCCTGATCTATGCTAAATTGTATACTCAGTTTTTGCACTCGTAATGAGTTAATATAGTTTTAAATATGTTTACTAACCGTTTTTTGGCAATAACTTTCTAAATGTTTTGCACATAAGCTTTGTGTCATAAATTGGTCCAAATTTGTTAGAAAGAAAAGATTTATATTCTTTGAAGGTATCTAAAAAAAATTGTAAAACAAAAATGTATTTAAAAAATGTAATAACACAAAATTCAAACTTACCAGGTAATGGATTATAAAATTGGTTGCACAATATTAATATATCCATAGCACAATTATGACCAACTAATGGTTTTTTTGTTTCTGATAGTAAATTTAATAAATGTTTGATACCTAACATTTTTTTAAATAATATTTGTTTAGAGGCTTCATTGTTTTTAGCATTTAATGTGTTGGACTTTTCATCTTTACTGGTTATTTTTATTATATTAATAGTATGAAGATCCTTAAATAATAATAAAATAAAATTAGTAACTTAATTTAGAAAAATATAATAAGTAATATAAATTATTAATTATTCTTAAACATAATTACTGGGTAGTAACTAGTAAGGTACACTTCTTTATAATATTTTACATAATATAACTAACCTAACCTAACAAGTGTATGTATATTTTATAAATGAAATTGGCAATTTTAATTGAAATAAACTATAAGGCAGGTGTGTGGTTGAGTGAGATAAGGCGGCAGTGTATCAACACACAGTCGCTGGTTCGAATCTAAGCCACTGGGGGTTTGTTCCTCCGGGCAGGCAACTGTCTGGGGGGGAAGTAAAAGCCACCTGCACCTCTCTCTGGGGCCAACGTGTTTGGTAGTGTTAGGGTGGCAGTCAGCTATAAGCCCAAAAATGCCAAATCTAAACCGTCTAAGCCCCAATTGGTGGGAATAACGAACGTTAAACGTAAGAAAGAGAGAGGGAGAATTGAAATAAACTAGAAAATTAAATTCCTAATTCTATACAAGGGGAAGTTCCAGAGTTTATACCCCTTCCTAAAGGTAAATAAAGACAAATTTTAGTTTTGATACTGCAATAAAATCTGTTTTGCTATAAGATTTTTTTCTCAGTGTGCGTATGCAATAGAACTTAAACTAAAAAATGATTTCAACTCGTATTTGTTTTGCTTATGTTATCTACTTGTGACGTCAGTCCCAGCAGATTATGAGGCAATAAAAACAATCACATGTTCTCTTTGCTGCACCGAAAAACATTGAAACATGGAAATGTTTTTAGATTTAATAAATATATACCAGCAAAAATAAATGCATGTTTAATATTCCAAGTTGTATTAATGCTGCATTATGGAAAAACTAACTATAACTCATTACCCGTGTACAGATATCCGTGTATCTGAAGTTACATTCTGTAGCTATTTTTAATTTGTTTAAAATTAAACATTTTTCATTTAATTGAACACTTCATTTTATGTTAATGGTTTTTGTAGTCTTAGAAAAATAATAAATATACTTAACATAGACACACATATCACATACAATAATATAAGAAAAAAACTTGAGTTTTTGATGTAGTAAAATTGTTCTCTTTGTTTTTTGTGTTAGGAGGGTTACTATTTTTTGCTTATTTTAATGATTTAAAGTGCTCAAAGCCCCAAGCCCGGTTCATAATGTTATAAGTTACCTCTTGTAAGCACACATGTTCACATTTGTTCATGATATGGTATTGGAGTAAATATGTAAAAACTGGATCATTGCTTTTCAATTTCTTTACTGATATATTATCTCCATCAATTGCATTTTCATACCATTCAGTAACAATTTTTAATTGATGACACATTTCTTCATTAATTATACGATATTTTGATTTTTTTAAATAACTGTCTGAAAACGAATCATCTGCCATTTCCAACTTCATTTGGTTTTCTTGTTCGTCAGTCAAGTAGGATATACCATTGTTAAATAACTATAAAAAAATTATAAATTATTTAAAAGCCATAAATTATTTGGGACTAATATAATTTTTTTAAATAAAATAATTTAGATTAAAATTATGGAGTATTTTGAATTAAATGTTAAACAAATTAATCTGTCTTCGTATTAATGTTGCACATTATGAGTTCAAAACATTCCTTTTTTAGCTTTCCATGTGTAGGTCCAGCTCAGTTATAATGGGTGCAGGGTGTGTATTATATACAATATATGTTTTTTTTAATGTGATTTTACATTATTTTATCCTTAATTACAACATTAAAGGACGGCCTTAATTCTTTATAAATGAAATGACTAATGTTTATTATTTAAATTTCAGTTTTTAAATAAATATAACATTTTGAGTAATAAAAAATAGTTAAATATGAGAGAAACTAAGTTTGAGATTAAATTGTAATTGTAAGAAAGCCAGGAATAAGTATAAAAATGAGTTGAAATTCCTAAATACTAACCTTATTAAAATTAAAGTTATGCTTGCATAAGAATTCAACACATGATGTTTGGAACTTGATTATACCATCATATTTTAAATAAGTTTTAGGGAATGTGTAGAATGAATAAGAGCTGACTTGAAATACTTTATCGTGTGCATCATATACAAAAAAAGATAGCCCGAGTTGTATACAAGTAATATCAGATACTTTTAAATGTAATTTATGATATCGTTCTTCAAGGGTGTCAAAAAATCTATAACAAAAAGAACAAATCAATTGTAAACATAATTATGAATCAGCAGCTGATTTATGGGTAGGCAACATAGGCAGTTGTCTAAGGTGCAAAATTCTTTTGACTATCTCAAAGTTTAAATATGAATTAATAGTAATATATGGTGAATATAATTTAAACTTTATTTATAACAATTTAATATTTTTATATTATTATACAAAAACTGATCTTAAATCGTACAACATGAAATAATAATATTGAGAGTATTTATAAATTTTGATTTTGGTTTCAACTAGTTTCTGAACTAGCTCATCAACAGGTTACATGATGAAAAACAAAAAATACAAACTTATATTTAAAATAATGATATTTTAAAAATGTTTGATAATGTGACATTACAATATTTTACACATTTTTTAAAATAATCATACTTTATTTTGATTCTACTATAATTAAACAGAATATGTTTTGTTATTATTCATTTTAATTTTTAGCTTTGATGTGAAGCTAACAAGGTATTGTTCATACAATAATGTGGTTTAATTTTATTTTTGTGTCTAGTAAAACGATTGAACCAATTTTTTCATGAATACGTTTTTTTCTATTTTGTTTTTTTTATGTAAAGTTTTAGGGTTGAGGGTCTGAAATTTAAACCAAAGGAAGATCTAGAATCGGGCTACTGCATATATAATTTTCTCAAAAATCTGTATTCTAACTTTTTTTTTATTAAGGAAAATCCAAAAATGGGGATAAATTACACTGACCTTAGTCAATTTCTAGGTTGCTATGTGTGAGTTAACCGGTTTTGAAAATATTTTCATTTTATTGATAACTCCAATATATGAGTAACTATGGAAATAAATTATTAAAGGCAGACAATCAACCATAACCATATTCACCCTAATACTAAAAATACATTTTTAAGTACATTATTGTCATTAGGTACAATGTTTTTATCAATATTTTTATTTCTACCATTACAGATTCACATCAAAGTTCTTAAATAAAATGTATAAAATCACTTTCAGTTTTGATAATACATAATATAAGTCGGTGACCTTCCTCACATGTCCAAAATCACTTAACTGGCTCTTTTTAAAAATAGTTTTATTTTTATTAATAATGTAACCAGTAACCTGATAAAGACTCCATGTCGTACTATAGTTGTTAAATAAATATTTTTTAAATACTCTTAGCAATACATAAGATTGTTTTTTTATACATAAGTAGTATTATAATTAAAAATATGATGAATACAAGACTATTATGATAATGACTATATAACCGCTAGTATCTTTAAGTATAAGATTAAAATTAAAACTTCAACGAAAGTCTATTATTTGGCTAGTAAAATAAGTAGACTTATAAAATAATTATTTAAACATAAAATAAATATTTCTTTACGTGAATGGAGCATGCTTTTCGTCGTTCAATTTAGAGAATTCTAAATCAAAACATACAAATGCTGAATCTTTTAATTTGGTTTCAATAATAGGCAATTCAGAAAAAAAATTTTCTGAAGTTATCTCACTCATATTGTAATTTATAAAATCACTTAAACTTAATATTATTAATTAAGAAACTATAGCTAATAGCTAATAAAATTTAATAGTGTAGACGAATTATAAAGTAACAAGTATTTTGTATTATATTTATTATATTAATTTATAACTTATATATAATGTTTGTACATTCGTTAGTATTTTGAATTTTGAATAATCATATTTATTATTATTCTGTTTACTGTTTTTATCAAAAAGAAAAATTGAATCGCATGCACAGATATATATAATAAATATAGACATATAATTTGTATTATATGTCTATGATAATAAACCCGGATTGCCAACTGGCGATACGAATTGAAACCAACGTTCCGCCGTTCAGGTGGGACACGATGTAGAGAAGATACATCTCTACATCGTGAGGGGGGATTTATGTGTGTTATCAATGCATATAATATATATCTGTATATATTATTATATCAATATTATATATATATAAATATGTGATTGTTATAAACATATATTATTCTCGCGTGATAAGGTTCTAATTCCTACCAAGATGGCGGAAAGTGGCTGCTTCAGTCTTCTCTATTGGTGGCATGTACAGTTAGCAATCTAGTTTATTATATATATCTATGATCGCATGTAATATATAATTCAAAAATTATTATTATTGTTAAACAGGGTTCTTGTTTATCCCCTTGGATAATAATTATTATCTTTGGTTTATCCAGCGTAGCAGCTGCTGCTACCTAGCTTGTTACTTAAGATATTCCTTATCAATTATTATTTTTATACCATGTTCATGTGTACCGTTTATGTTTACATAAATCATTTTGTGGTTATGTGTTGATAACGTTAGCTGTAGCGCCAGCCTGCATTTCAACCTTCTTTTTTCTGTTAACTTGTAATTATTATAGCGTTACTTTTTCTTGTCTTAGAATTTTTATCCAAAAACATCCAAGTAAGTAGATTTTGAATCAACTAATCATTTCTAATAAAAATCACTTAACATTAATTGTATACTCTTTTTGGTATTATATGAGTTTAAAATTTTTACGAATCCGAATAAAATAAAATAAAATTTATTTGACAGGATGTTGATGCCAAAAAAGAACCGCAGAGCTATATATGAATACTTATTCAAAGAGGGTGTTATGGTGGCCGAAAAGGACTTCCATAAGCCCGTCCATCCAGATTTGGAAGGTATCCCTAATTTACAAGTCATCAAAGCTATGCAGGTTAGAAGTTTACTATTGTGTGTTAACATTCAATACTTATATGTCTTAATTATTTTTTAGAGTTTAAAATCTAGAGATTATGTTAAGGAACAATTTGCGTGGCGACATTATTATTGGTATTTGACCAATGAAGGCATACAATATCTAAGAGATTACCTTCATTTACCAACAGAGGTAATTAGTATTTACATTACAGATTTATTATCTATGTTTTTATTAGGATAGGTATTTGTATTACTCTGTTATTTTTTTGGGTTTTGTTAATATTTCCGTATTGACTAGTCTATAAAACTCTTATATTCAAAATGCTATATTGACAAATTCGATATAATCTGTACATAATCAAATGTATGATAGTTTTTTATTTTGAATAAGAACTCGATTTTAAAAGTTTAAAGCAACTAAAACATTTACATTATGTGCATTCAGTTTTAACAATAAATATTAGTATATTATTAATTTACTATTTTCGATAATATTTTTATAAATATTAGAATAGTGTATGGTTTATATAAGACTGCATATTTTCTGAAATTAATCCTATTTTGTTATCTTATAATACTTAATACCATTGGTTATAAATATTATAGATAGCCCACCGAGACAAATTTTAGTTCTGGATGTCGACACGGGATAGGCGCTAATAGTATACTTTTCGTTGAATACGATACTACTAGCGCCCGTCCCGCGTCAAAGTGCAGAACTAAAAATTGTCTCGGTGGGCTATCTATAATATTTATAATCAAGCTAATACTTTTTTAGATTAATTCATCTACTTCACTAAAAAAAACTTTGATTAATTTGAATTGTACATCTTAATCTAAATTGTAGTACTTGTTTGCTTATGTTATAGTTACTATGTGACACTATTGTACGCCATAACACTTTTTTATTCTTGTCTTTTAAATTATTTGTACATTTGTAGCGAAACCAACAATTAAAAACTTATAAAATATTTAAGTTATGAAAATGGTAAATTGAAAATTAATACCGTTATAATTAATGTAAGCTTGCCTACATACTTAATAAAACTTAGTTTACAACATAACTTTTTTTCACCATATATCATTAAAATCTTTAAAAGATCACCATTTTTAATTTGAAAGTAAGATTTTTTTCTCTGCTCAGTTATGTTTAAAAAATTCATTACATTTTAGTTATAATAATATATCTATTATAATTTGAAATGAGAATAAATTAAGAACTAAGCATTTACTGTTTTATACAATAATGTGTTTCTACTGTGTACTCAATATTTTAAGACCCATGCAATTCATAATATTATTTAAAAAATGTCTGTTCAGCTCTACATTGGAGCTAAAATTACAAATAACAAAATATTGTAGAAATTAAATAAAAAATGGCACTCTTATATTATATAAGTATTACATTTATGTTTTATTTTAGATTGTTCCCGCTACATTGAAGAGGCAAGCCAGACAAGATCCTCGAGGCCCAAGAGCTGTACCAGGAGCTAGACCTGAGGGTGGTAGGTCTGGTGAAGATAGAGCTACTTACAGACGTGCACCAGGTGCTCCTGGTACTGATAAAAAAGCAGAAGTTGGAGCTGGTACTGCTGAATTGGACTTTGTAAGCATCATTTTTATTATTAATTATATAACTATACTGATGTTGTTTAGCAATAATGGAGGGCTCTGTAAAACTGATAATATAGTAAAAAAAAAACTATCAAATATAATTGTTTAAAACTTCTCTTTTCTTTTCTTCTTTTCTTTAAAATTAATTGTCTCGAAATTTGATGTATTATGTATGCTGTAGTTGGCTACTTTGTTATTTCTAATCTTCTTAAAAATTTCTTTTGTTTTTCAATATTTTTATTCATCATTACAACATTTAATTTTGAAATTCTATCATATTTAAACAAAAATGAGATAGTGATTAAAACAGTTTTCATTATTTTTTTAGTTACTTAACATTTTTAACGTTGTTTTGTAATCTACATAAAAAATGTAAAATTAAAACCTCAAAAAGTATAGGTTTAATTTGACTTCGTTCTGAATTATTTCATATGAAACAAAAAGCTTGAAATAAAAGACATTGTATTTATGGACACTTCTAACAAAAACTAGATGGCTGAATTTCCCAAACTCTAATAAAGTTCTTTGATATTTAGAATATCAAAGTTAATTTGCCAACAAATAAAATTGTATTGATTATTTTTTTGATTTTTATTGACTAAATAAAAACGTGCTTGATTTTGTATGGAGCTTGATGTTATTGGTATATATAAAGAAGAATTGTCTAAACAATTTATACTATCTAACTTAATAAAATCTACATTACTTACACCAATTTTTTTTAATTTCAGAGAGGACCAGGCGCATTTGGTGGATTTGGTCGTGGTCGGGCTCCACCTCAATAAATGTAATTATTTTTAATATTTACAAACAAAAAAAGAATAAAAATTTATATGTGAATATAAATTTAGTATTTTATTTTATATTATGTTTCCTTGTCCTATCACTTCAGCTTATTAATGTAAAAGCTAAGTAATAATAAAATATAAGTATGCATCCCAATACTCTTCATCAATACCGGCATAATATACACAGAATTATAAATAATAAAGTTTATTTATATTTATGAATTAATTTATTGACAAGTAAATCATGTTATTTAGAATTCAGATGACGTTAAAAAAGATGTGTGTAATCGCCATAATATGGAAATTTAAAATCCTTATTACAACAAATAGTCAATAGAAATTAATATTTCAAAAATCGAAAGACATTGCGCCCTTTTAGAAGTCTCTTTTTTCAAAATAAATATTGAAATCTACGAGTTTTCTAACGTAGTAAGGAATATTTTTGAGCAAGAGGAAGAAACAAATTGACCATGATATAAAATATTCATTCTGAAGTTGGAAGAAATTGAGGCATCAATGAATATTATAGGATTTATAATTTTCTCATGTAGACTTTTTTTAACTAACGAGTTAAATATACGATGATTTCTCTCATCACACGCATTAATTTGCAACAAAAGTTATTTATTAACAGTTATTTAAAGCAAACACATTTATAAATTATTTATCTAATGAAATTTAAAAATGTATGTTTTGACTTTTCTTAGTATTTTATTATTGTTTTAAAGTGATTGTACAATAAAATAAATAATGTGCTTTGGGCTATAAGTGCAAACATCAATTTTTAAGAAAATACCAGTAAACCAATAAATATATGTAAGCAACACACGTACTGTGTAAAAGTTTTGTAAAATAGTAAACACAGCCTTATGGAAAAGTAAAACCTACCCATAACTCTAAGGGGTTAGCTCATAGCAAGTGTTGTAAGATACACTGTTTAGCCTCGGCAGATTTATAACGTTCAAATTGCAATCAAATTTTTATAATAATCAGAATAAAATATGTTCTTAGGCCGGGTGCACACCAATGCAGTGTGGTGGTGGCGTTTTTACGGCCCGCCACTTGCAGTGAAAAAATTATACTACACGTGTATTCTTGTGTGAATGTGCACAACGATGCAGTGTGGTGGTAGTGCGGCGGTTGTTGCGCCACACAAACCGGACGTTGGTGGTGTTTTCTTTCGTTGCGCACCACATGCGGTTGTGGACTGTGGTTAATAAAAACTAGATGATTGAATGAATATTATAATATATTAATTATGAATGCATATTTTACATTTTTACGAGATTTTTTTAACATTTAAAATTTAATATCTATGTTGATTATTGATTATAATGATAAGTTGTTTTACGACTCCGGTAATTGACTATTTATAACTTCACTAGCCAATACCGGATGGCGACCGCGTTCACTGTCTCTTATATTATCCCTTATGTTGTTCGGTGTTCCTTCTTTTCCGCCGTGGCCTTGAGCGGTGCGAAACGTACGCTGCCGCAGTGGTGGAGTTCAACCCTTGTCCGTCTGAACTCTCAACACTTACCACCTCGTCCAGATGGTACACATGCCCTGGTGTTAGCGCTAATACTAGAATAGTATAGTCTTATATTTATTTTGATTAATCTTTTTTTTTTTTGATACTTAATATTTTTTAATTAAAACAACATTTTTTTCTACGCAAATAAATTGTTCGTTTTACTATAATAAAGAGTAAATACGAATATTGAAAAAATGTTGAAATTGATTACATTTTAGTGTAAAGTAAGCACAGACTTTCTGGGCACTATTCGTCGACCATTATATAAACAACATAAAATGACAGACCAAGAATTTACCCTGACTATCAAACGTAAATTCAATTTTTACTGACTAATATGTTCGTACAAATAACCGTATTATGTACAATCTCTAAAATATTTACGCTTTTTAGGTAAAGTTTTTTAAGGCTTTTTTTATGGTCTGAAAATTAGACCCAAGGTAGATCTAGAATTATAACATATACAGTTTTCTCAAATATCTTTAGTCAAACTTTATTTTTATTAAGGAAAAATATAAAAAAGGGAAATGTTACTCTAGTCAACAGGTATTTGAAAATATTTTCATTACATAGTTAATTACGATGTATGGGTAACTACGGCAATCAATTATTAAAGATAGCAAATCAACCCTATTCGTATCCTCTCTAGTATAAAAATTCATTATTAAGAACATTATTTATCATTAGGTTGCGCTTTTTCCGATATTTGTATTCTAAGTTGTAATAATTCATATAGGCCTGTGACCACATCTGCCCCAATATTCTCTGAACGGGTTTTTTTTCATTTAAAAAAATAATAAAAATCAGAATAGGGATGTATTTAAATATTAAGTTTTGTTTTATTTGAAATATATATTTTAAGTTACCTATTAAGACCACAATGTAACGTATGAAATCATGCAATAAAAAATGCTATAATTTAAATCAACCACAAAATATTTCTCCACTTATATAGGTTCTAATATGAATGTAAATTGAAAATGTTTAATCTTTATTTCCAAAAGTTTTAAAATATACACATTAGAAAATCACGTATTACGGATAAGGATCCGTAATACGTGCCTTTGTCTTCTATACGCCTCTATCGTGATCTAATAACGTCATTTTTTATCTGGGTGGTATTATATGTTATACTTAAAAGCGTATTCCCATTTCCCAGTCCACAAGAACGGTGATGGTGCGCCGGTGTGTGATTGCGAGAACACAGCAGCAGTAACACACTTTATAACAAATCAATACGCGAGCCAAAATGACCTAGTAAAACCGTCCATGGCCGCCGTTTCTATATATACATATATATATTTATTATTGTTAATAATATGTGTTTGGTGGAAAGCCTTATAAATTCATCAGGTTTGCGATTCTGAACCTCAGACAAAATGGAATATTCTTATATACATGTTTTGCCTTTAGGGCTGTTGTGCGCATTATCACCATGGTAAAAAATAAACTTGTCCTACAAAATGGTTTATTATTATACAGACGAAAAATCTTATGTTACTAAAATAAGAACTTTCAGACAGAGAGTAGTCTCATTCTAAAGAATAATCAACTCATAATATTATACATACGGTCAGTGGTCACTGGTCACAATCCAGCTGCATGATTGCTTCTTTAATTTTCAATCAATCGTAGGACGACGGCGTTACATTATACAGCAATTTAGGACATAATATAGCCATATTAGATATCTATAGGTCGTAGTAGTAAGCTTTTAGACAGGAGGCAGGCCCTATCGCTACCGAATAATCACATGAAAGTAGGTAAAGATTTTAAACTATTAAGTATACATTATAATACTATTATTAAGTTTTTAAATTTCGGTACACAAAAGCACTTATTTTGCCTACACAATGCGCCGTTACACACTAACTATAATCAATTCATGTTTCATTTGTACGATCCTATTATGAAAAAAATAACTTCTATGCTTTGTTTTTAGTTGTTACTTTTAATGTAAAATTGGAAGTATGCACCTTACCACAAACCGTGTAAATTATACAAAAATTTGAACACTTTCCTGGCTACAAAAAATGTAAAACAGGTAATAGTATTTTACACAAAAAGACGATGCTATTTTAACTTTGATGAGGAGCTAAAAAAGGTTGTTTTAACAAATTCTCGTTGCCGCGAAAAAAACTCCCATGTGCTCCTAATTGTTCTGCAGACACTTAACGATTTATAGTAGGTAACACATTGGAGGTTTTATTTGTTTTTCTACAATGGAGATAGCACGTTGGAGATTTGATCATATGATAGCTTAATTTTTCTGTATCCAGGGATACCAAAACCTCAAAATCGTAAAATTGGCGCATAGGAGGCTTTTTCGCGGCAACAACGAAGTATTAGTTTTTATTGATTTTTGTATTTAGACCCATGACATCTCCTAAACACTGAACCAATTTCCTCATGTAGCTAACATATATTATATCAAGTAGTGACCAATTACTGTACTTAACAAGCCAATGTTATAGACTACGAGTATTGTCGACGTTATCTCATATTATTATGGTCACATTGCATTTACACCGAGACCGACAGAGCGACAAGATAAAAATAAACTAATATTTTTGTTCCAAATCTTGTGGCACGTGCGCGCATTTGCCGATGACGACCGCCTTTATTGCATAACCAGTTCATTGTCAGTGACCACTACTAGCGCCTCTGAGAAATAACTATCCAGCAAATACACCTAAAGTACAATCCAGGTTCCACCCTAGTACTAAAAAACAAATTTAAAGCACATTTTTGTTGAAGTATTATTGATCGCGAAGTAAGGTAAAATACGATATTTTTCGTTGCAAAACTATACATATTCTTTTTTATACAACCAATAACACATGCTACTATCTATATTAAATGTACATCATAACTTGCAGCATACAGCTTCTATAAAAATGTCTTAGTAATAGTTTTGTCAAGTTTTGAATCTGTTATGTATAAATTCTATTTCGTTTGGAATCGTTTGTTATGTTTGAGGTTATTCATTACCTACAATATGAAAACAATTAATAATAATAATGATATTACTCCAATAACTTGTTTTTACTTATTAAAGTTGTTGCTGTTTTCAACAGGAGTGTTAATTTGTACTGCTTATATCGTATACAGTGTCCAGTGAAGTTTCTTAAAAATTATATGCGAGTGTAATATTGAACTACAGAATAACATTTACAAGGTATTATGGTTGTGTGAAACGTAGTGCGCAGGCTTGGTTAACCTCCTTTATATATAGCCGATGTGTATACAAAGTATGGCCTTGGCCCGGGATAGGCAATAAAAAACGACCCTTTCGTTTGCGGGAGGAAAAAAAAGCTCAATGAGTCAAGGTCTTTAAAACAAATGACTTTATCGGATAATAATTTATTGTTTATAATCTCTCTCAATTAAATAAGCTAATGCGTACCATGCTACACTTTATATTTAGTATAATAATGATACGATACATAATAAATTATTATTAAGTTAGGACTATAGAAGTCAACTTCATAATGCATTTTCAAACATCTTTCCTGAAAATTATC